GGTCACCGGGCCTGTGTGGGTCAAAATATCATTAGCGCCTCTCTAGCGCTCCGCTGGCGCCAAAATCTGCCACAACAAACGCAATTCCAGTGGGAGACAAAAACCATTCACGGCCGAATGAAAAACGAGAACAAACTGCGCTAAGACAACAATTGAAAAGTGATCGAAATGCCGGCGCCCGGCTAGCGAGTAGCTAACAGCCCCTGAGCGATTCCCTTAATTTCCAAGCGTGCCGCTTCACAAACAAAACGTGCGACTCATACCGAACCATTCAACAATCCTAGGAAATGAACTGTCGCGCGCAGACTGTCGCCGCTGTCATGGCCTCTAATGAAACAATACACTGCAAGAACGCCTGGCTGATGCTTGGACAATACACTGCAAGAACGCCTGGCTGATGCTTGGACATAAGGCGGCGGCCAGCTGAGCACTCCACGGGTGGTAGGATCCCGCAGGCCAGACTTGCCAAGCCTAGCTCGTTAGCTCATGCCACAGGTCTCGGACAAGTGCAACAGCTCCCCACATCTGGTGGCAGAACAGGTTCGCGTTGTTCGTGACGCTCACGCCTGCATGTGACATTGGCCAACAGGACACAGTCTGGGCCGGTGCTCAGAAATGCTCTCTTGCCTCCTGCGTCTGGAGCGAGACCGACTGCGAAGCTCTTTCCGCCGCCTTGTGGCATGAGCATGGCGCGTGTGGAAGTCGAGGTGCCCTGCCTTCGGTCTCGATCCTTCACGGCACTTCCAATTCGCTGGGCCTGGCACACTGTCGGCCACTTGCCCCGTGCAAGCTTTCGAAAGGCAACGAGCCGCACCTGCCCACGCCTGCAAGCACGTGATATCGTGACCAAATGCAATCTGACATGCCCCACACCTGTCGGCTGGTCCTGTCACAAATGGGAAGCCATATTCCTCACTATTATTCACTATTCTAATCTCAAGTCCTTGCATGCTCCAAAAGCTCGCGTCGACCTCTGAAACGCGGCTGACACGATTTCAGCACTTTGGGCGCGCCTGTGGCACGTCCGCTGTCTGGCGTGTCGCTGCTGGCCTTCGGACGCCAGGCTGCTCTGTGGTGCAATTCCGTTTGCGCCCAATGCGAGCTTCCCAGCCCGGCTCAAGCAAGATCAGCCATTGGACAGGCAATTCGTATCTCGGGCAATCATCTGTCACGATACGTAAACCGTGTGCATCTGTATAAACATGTGTACCAATAAGCTATATACATGTTGCCTACAAAACTACGTAGCGTATCTACTTTCTATCTAGAATACATACGTCGTGCAAACTGTTTGCCAAAAACCTGCTCCGCTGCCACCATTGTCCGTAGATGGGGCACCTTATCTCTGAGGACGAGCCCAATGTGGTAGCGGTCTCTAATGGCTGTGGATCTGTTTCTCAACGAGAACCTGATGACCTGATGGTTGACACTGCTGTGGAAACGTCTGGTCAATACAATATGTAAGAGTGTGCTGAGATTGAGGGCAGCGAGGCCTTTTTCTATGGCGAGTATGAACTCTATGGTAGAAAAATTGGCCTTGAGCCAATATGTATACGTGATACAAACTGGTTGCCTATGAAGGTCAATGGTCTGCAAAACACAGAACCCCCCCCCACTCCTCCACCCTAGTTCAATCACTTGAATTCTTGGGCAATCTTGAGGCAGGTGCGGCTCGGTGTCCCGGGTCTTCTTCTCTTTGGGCTCTTTGGCCTCTTTGCCCTTTCTATCTTTGGGCTCTTTCGATGCTTTGGGCTCTTTCGATGCTTTGGGCTCTGGCATGGCCTCAAATGCTTTCCAGAGAGGCACTGTTCTCAAGTTTGCGATGTCAAGCATTGAAGAAATCAAGCGCAAAGGCTGCAGGACGCTGAAGGGGCTTGCTTGAACCTCTGCCTTGTCTCGCTTGCCTTCCTGCGGCAAGTTTTGCACATCACGCCGCATGAGTGCAATCCGGCCCCTTGCTCCAGGCAGTCGAGCTTGGGCCTTCTTCTCCTTCTTCTCGGACTTCTCGGCCTTAATTTTATGCTTCTCGCCATGCTTCTCCTTCTTGGGCGGCTCTGGCACCTCACCGCTCAAGCACACAAGGCTCTGCGGCTCTGCCCTAGCATGGGCCGCAAGGCAGCTCTGTCGACACTGGCTAAATCTGGCAAGCCAGCGATCCACACAACACATGAGTCATCTTCTGGGAGGTCTGACTTGCGAGAATCTCCGCTTCAAGATCTCACGGGCGCGCAAAGCGCAGCTGCTTTGCATTCGCAACTCATTTTGCTCAAGGGCAGAGTGCGCTGTTACAAGTGGCGCTGTTACAAGATTGTGGGGGGCGCCTGTTGCTTACGCAGAGACTGACCTTCCCAGGCATCCCAGGCACCCTGGGCATCCCAGGCATCCCGAAACCGCCCTGCACAAGCATCGCGGCCAAGTGGAAGGAACGTGCTCGCGACAACTCAACAAACCATGCCTGCTGCAACAAAGCGGCAAAGCATTCCAACTAATACAAAATGATTGGGGATGTTGGCTCTTACTCACCCTCTGGTCCGAGTTCTGTGTCCAGCCGATGGAGCAGGCGTCTCAGACAAGTTTGTGCCCTGCCTCAGGCTCCTCAATCAGCTCTGGCTCCGCTGTCTTGCTTTTCTTGTGCTTTTTTGGTCTTGATTCCCTGCACGCACTGACTCACTGAAGCGCTTTCACGTTAGGAGCTGAGGGCCAAGCATCTGCTCTTCCTCTCCTGGCATAGCTCGCGCTTCCTAAAGAACTAAAGATCTAAGCCCACTCGGGAAAAATGGCTCCTCGCCCCCGGCTCATCTTTTCTTTCTTCTCCTGCGTGCTGAGGCTTACTGTGCTAGTCATGTGAATCAGCAGAACGCAGCCTTGGCAGCATCTTCCGGCCGCTTGGCGTCCTTTCTCTTGCGGGGTGCCTAGTATTCTGACACGTTGGCACCATCAGAAGAGTGCGCGCAAAGGCTAGCACCTCTTTGGCTTCCTCTTCGGCTTTTTGCCGTCTGCCTTCAGGACTTGACAGGAGCTTGCGCACTAGAAACTGAGAAGCTGAGCTGAGCCAATGACTTCTGCCTTTCTCCCGGTCCCTGCATGTGTTTGCCGCCAAAGCAGCCAGCAAAGCACTCTCCTTGCCTCTTGGATTTGTCTGCCTGCAGCTGACAAGTGAAAGTCTGTCGCAATAAACAGCAAGAAGCGCTCCATGCCACACATCATCCCACATGGGTGCGAGTGTGCTTGAGGCTACCAATTCTGAAAACCATACACCCCTTCCAAAGCTCAGACCCGCCTTGCTTTCTGGCTGAACTTTTGCATCCTGCAAAGGCGGCCGTGAAGCGCAGATAGGAGCAGTGCAATGGGTCCTTCTTGCGGCCTTCCACCTGGAGCAAAACAAGCAAAGGCAAGAGAGCCTGGGCAATGGCACTATGGCCTCCTGATTGCTCCGTAAAACGAGCGCATTTGCTGGCTTCAAGCGTGCCCTGCGCACCAAACTTGCGGATACGCCTGGATGCAAGGTGATGCAAGTAGCAAGGCCTCTCTTCGGGTGCCCTTCGAAGAACTGCCCGCGGCTCGCGTGGCTCACGCGGCTCACGTGCCACCAGAACTCGCCTGTGCGTCTAAGGCCCGTTCGCGCAAGCTTCGTCTGAATGTGTCTCATCTCTCACAGCGCAACCGGCCTCTCTTGTCGCCTCAGATCCAAGCAGGCTGAGGCGAGACATGGAGCCCCTACAACCCTGAGCTTGCACTTCGCGCCTCGGTGTTTTCCCTGGCCGCATTCTGTCTTACCGATATGCGAGGCAAGACCAGGCCTGGAGACGGAGAAGGGCATCCTGAGCACCAAGGACAAAACGCTTCAAAACGCACAGGCGGCAAATGACCGGCTTCAGGGCCGGGCCGGGTGAAGGCGCGGAAGGTAGCGACTCCTCATCCCTTAGCGAAGCTTTATGCGAAGCATTGCTAAGCTGCTGAGGAGATCTATGGTCGATCCGGAGTCCAAGCCCGCCACGGTGAGCGCCGAGCTCCAGGCGCCAAAGGTGCCTCTCGCCAGAGAACTTTCAGAAATTGCATCTGATCGATGTGGGGGCGAGGCTCGAGTGGACTTGCTTGATTTTGCTTTGCGTGGATCCTGAGCAGGCAGCCACACCAACCCAGCCAACCTACGCAAGAGAGTGATGCCATGTGCGGGAAGAGCTTAAGCTGCTTTGCAGCCTGCAGGCTTTGCCGACTGCGCTTCTTCGCCTCTATTGAGGCAATCCAATAGGCCTGTGGTGCTCACAAACTCCAGCTACCCCGTGGCAGGCCGCACCTTGCAAAGGATCAAAAAGGAAAAAGGCGCAACGAGACAGCAAAGCGCCAAGCTGCATTGGAGCCGGCGTTATGTAGCGCCCATGGCTTTGTTTAAGGCGTCTACGGCACTAGAACGTGTGGAGCTTGCTTGGGCACGTGGCATCGAGTCTAAATGGCACTGCACGTGATCACTGTAATTTCCACCTTGACCATAGGGGCGTACATGGGCGTGTTTCATGAAGCCAAGATGAGACTGCTGCTTTGCTACAAAGTCTGAGTTTGCAATCAATGTGCGCCATCTGTCAGTTTGTATGAGGCTGTGAAGAGCTGGTGCAGCCAAACATGGCAGCCAATGCCCAAACAAAAACACTCCGGGCAAGCAAACAGTCCAGGAACATCTGCGAACTTATTTCGTCCTCAGGCGAAACTCGCACCTCACATTCGCATGGGCGGTGGCAGCACTGGAGATGTGTGATGCTCCTGCTCAGACTTGGTCACTGTGACATGGAGGTCGTGCACGCCAACTAGTCTCACCGCCTCGGTGGACACTGCCTCAGCTTTCTCGATCGGAAGGGAACCCTTGCCTGACAACCAGCCCTCTACGACTGCCGAGTCATAGCCAGCTGACTGCAGCTCGCGGAAGGCCTCGTCAACTTCAGGCTGGCCCCCGTGCTTCAGCATGCCGGCCAGCTCTTTTAAGGCCTCCTCTCTGTGCTCAAGCTTCACGCTTTCCAGAAGCTGGGCGCGCTCGAGGTCTTCTGCCGGTAACTCGGCCTTGGCATCCGTTCTGGCGAGAGGCCTTTTTGGACTGACAGCCGAGACCAGCTTTTCCAGGCCGCCAGCGATCCAATCCTGGAAGCGCTCAGGATCATATCCCCAGCGTGTCACGCCAGCCAAGGCCTCCTCAACCCTGGCCGCCCCACCAGCCTGAAACATGTGGATCATGAAATGTGTGGCATCGTCTCTCTTGGCGCTGTGCAGGAAGAGCATCAGCATCTCAGAGTCGCTCATGTTCTGCGGGCTGTGGGCATGATCCGTTGGCCAGGACTTGTTGATCACTTCTGGCTTCTGTGAAGTGCTCATCCGGCTACCTGGCTGCATGCTGACATTGCTGCTCTCTCTCTTGCTGAGGTAGTGGCTGTCGCGGCGTGCCAAGCTTCCAAGTGTATTGCCGGGCAAGGTGGTCTGGATCGGCTTTTTCCGTAACGGCTTGCCAGCAGCAAGCAGCTGCACATCTTGGGGGTCATATCCCCAAGACTGCAGACTAGCCAGCGCTGATTCAATGCGAGGCTCACCCCCATGCTTAAAGAGGTTGGAGATGGTGGCTTTCAATCCTTTCGCATTTTCTGCTTGGACCATGTGCAGCAGCAGCTTGGCATCATCTTGGTCTGGGCGCGCTTGCTTGGACACCGTGCTGGCGTGCGCTGCTCTTGTCGGAGTCGGTGCTAGTGTCTCACCCTCAGACTTGTACCACCGCTTGACAGCATCAATGTCGTATCCCAATTTCTGGAGCTTGGCCAAGTTCGTCGACAAGGATGCCTTGCCACCAGCTCGCAGCATCTCAGCGAAGGCGTGCATCACGGCTCCACGGTCCCCACCTTCGAGTCCACGCACCAAAGATGCAAAAGACTCATCTGCTCTTGCTCCCGTTGCTCCCGTTGCTCCCGTTGCTCCCGCATCTCCCGCCACCCACTGCAGAAGGGTCTGGTAGTCCCCAGTGGCAGAGAAGCAACCCAGAACCTCCTCCATACGATTCTTGCCACCTGCGCGGACAATCCCAGTAAGCACGTCCTTGGCCTGTTGCAAGTTTCGTCCTTGAGCTGCCCGGGTGAGCTGGGCAAAGTCCGACAACACGCCCACCGCATGGTCGGTATCTGCTCGTCCTAGCCCACTTTTGCCATCCAGCCATCCCTTCAGCTGTCGGATGTCGTAGCCCAAAACCTGCAGTCCGCGCAAGGCATGGACCACATGCTGGTCCCCACTGCGCTGGATGCTGGACAGAGACAGCCTTGCCAAGGAAGGGAGGGAGTCTCTGGTCTGCCGCACCAGCGCTTTGAAGCGCTCCAGGTCGGCCAGGTGGGCGGACTGGTCGGCCAGGTCAGACCTGGACTGGGAAGGGAAAGGGCCACCGGAGAGCCACTTCTGCACTGCTGCTGGTTCCGGGCCGCCACCTGCTGTCACCATGGCCAAGGCCAAAGGTAGGTCGGGGAGCTCAACCAACACGCCGGCCATTGCCCTTCTGTCTCCTGCAGACAATGCCTTCAGGAGGGGGCCAGCAGAAACTTCATTTCCAGGTACCACCTTGAGGGCGGATACGCCCGACAAGGCCAGCAGAAGCCACACAAGCGGCATGACTTGAAGGCCCTGAAACCCTCAAGCCAGACATTGAGCCTTGAACGTCTGCAAAATCGTGCAAAGGCACAAACCCTGCATCCCCAATTTGCCAAATGCAAACCCCAAGCAGGACTCTTTTGGCACTCGCAAGACAAGATCAATGCTCACTCAGGACCTCGCAGCGAGGCCTGGAAATGGCGCGCCTGCGCCTCATCCATGAGGTTTGGATTGATACTCTCACCATCGCTCATGCGCATGCCCTGCATGCCCTGCATGCCCTGCATGCCATGTATGGCGCCAGCTCGGAGCAGCAAGGCCTCCTCGCGCTTCATGACATTTCGAGCTTGTGGCTCCCCTTTGTTGTTCAAGGCAATGGTGAAGGTCACCTCATCACCAATTTGCAGACCCACCATCTGGTTCTTGTGGATGTAAACATCCCTTGTGAAGCGGGTCTTTGTTTCATCGCAATCGATGAAGCCATAGCCTCCCCCAGGCCCCTCTTGGAATCTTTTAACCCTGCCGACGAAAGTCTCCTCTTGACCTTGACCAACTTGAGCCCCCGGCCACACTTCTGGAAACGCCTGTGCCTGCGCCTGCGCTTGCGCGGCCTGCGCGGCCGCTGCCTGTGCTGCTTGAGGCGCAGACTGCCACATTTGGTGCAGAGTGCCTGGCCAGGCTTGCGCGCCTGGGTGCGGCTGTGCCATCCCTTGCACTCCTTGCATTGCTTGCATTGCTTGCATTGCTTGCATTCCTTGCATTCCTTGCACTCCTTGCACTCCTTGCATTCCTTGCACTCCCTGCATTCCTTGCATTGCCTGCCATGGGGCAGGGGCTGACCACTGCTGGGCCGGATGTGTGAAGGGCTGCTGAGCTTGGAGTTGCCCACGGTCTTGGCTGGTATGATTGTATCCAAGATTGTGAGGGAACTGCTGAAAAACGGGGGGCACATGTCCATTGAGTCCTGGTGGTGGCGGTGGGGGCGGCGGTCTGATTGTGGTGCTAGGATCTGGGGGTGGCGGCTGTATTGGGGATGCAGATCTGGGTGGTTCGATGGCACGGGGTGCTGGAGGAGGTGGGGGCACGATGGGCGCGATGGGCACCACTGCCACGGGCGCAGGCCTGTCCGTGGCCAGTGCGGCCGCAGGCACCAAGTTGTTGTCAGCCACATCCCAACCTGTCGGTCGCCGACTTTTTGAGCGGGATCGAGAGGAAGACGAGGACCGGGACCGAGACCGTGAACTCCGTGAACTGGAAGACTCACTTTTGTCTTTCTCCCTTTCCTTTCTTTCACGCTCACGTTCCTTCGCGGCCCGTTCTTCCTCTCTCCTCTTTCTCGTTTCCTCTGCTTCTCTGGCCTCCCTTTCCTTGCGTTCCGCTTCCTCTCTCTTGCGCCATTCTTCCAAATCCTGTGCTGTGATCTGCTCTTCGCTGGACTCCTCCTCTTCCAACTCCTCCTTCCACTTCGGCTTGCCGCTCTCCTTCTGGGCTTTTGCTCTTGGAGCAAGCACCTGACAGGGAACAAACTGCACCACACCCACATCCGGGCCGGCAACACTTGCTTACAACAACGAAATACCAAAATTAACTGCAACTCACGCAGCATTGGGTGCCTCCTTCTTTCGCTTGCCCAGCATGCCCCAGCCGCAACTCAATGAGGCAGCTCCATGCAGCAAACGCCGAGGAACATCTCTTGCAAGTTTCAAGCTGCGATGCTGTCACGTGTTTGCCGAGGCTCTTGTTTTGCTCTTTGTCATATGGTGGCTGTACCATTCCTTTCCTGATGATAACTTGGATTGCTGGCCACATGTTGTTTTATTCGGGCCCTGCACAAGCACTAAAATGGCCCGACTCTCAGTAAACACCATGCAAACGCCGGTTGGAATGCCACGAAAGCTGCACGGTAGCCTTGTAAGGAAAGCAAGATCACAAAGCCGGGAGATGTGACCTGTGTGACAGACTGTTTCTCGCCTCGCCGCTCCAACTTTATCCAGTCCTTTCCTATTGCCCAGACCCAGGGTTGTGCAGCTCCCTGGGTGTGGGCCTGGGTGGAGGTGGGTCAGGGGTGGGTAAACTGAACGGGCCACTCGTAAAGAGTCTTATGGTAGCCTTGAAATCAGAACGTCCCAAAACCAAAGTTGCGAGTATGAAAGTACCGTGTGTTAATCTGCGAGGATGGGGGAATTGTTGGCTGTCAACAGGATCAGCTCCAAAGACTAACAAATCAGAAAACAGCAGTGCCGATTGGCTTCACACTCGTAGGCGTTGGCTACTTGTATTAGCGCGTCTAGTGTTTCTCCCGCTGCCCTTGCTCAATGCGCAGCCCTGTGTTGTAAATCTGCCACGCGAAAATACCATGACACTGGAAATCAATCATTGCTTCTTTGATTGTGCCTGGGTCGATCCTTCAGAATCACCATGGGCCCAAAAATCAACACCCTCAGCACGTCCGTTCGCATGTTTCTAAGTTCAGAGCGAGCAAACAATCGTACTCTCAGCTTGTTGGCGCGTCCTGCCACAAGACGTGCCCAGTCATGAAGGAAACGAGGGGGCTCTGCGGACCAAAGGAATGTCCACCGAAAAGAACAAATGAGAATCGGCAATTTGCCTCACAAACGCAATGTATCAAGAATAAGCAAAGCGAAACACGACTCGCTTCCTTGGGCTGCTGGTCTTATTGAGCCAGCAATCGTTGACTTTGGTCCTGTCTCCTCGCAAGAAGCAAGGCATTCGATTTGCTTATTCCAAGCATTCGGGTGCTTGCGCTTCGGAGGGCAACCGTCCAAAGTGGTCTTCATAGTGTCAGCCTATCTGGATCGGGCCAAGTCCCAGTTGCCAAGCCAGGGCGAGCTGAGCAGAGCGATGTCAGCGTGTTCAGTAGTCCGTTCGCTAGGGGAAGTCACAACAAAATTGAAGAACCCCCGCTCCGCTATCCATGTACAAATCAGAGGGGGGAGCCAAACGTCTGTGGCTTCGTCCTCCGACAGAATGCCTCTGGAATCAGCCGCAGGGGGCATTTGAGGAAGACCCACATTTACCCCACCATAGCATGTGGAGCCAAGGTTTCTCAAGAGTACTTCGCTGCACTGGCAGAAGTGTTCCAACGTCCCACTGCATGATCTCAACTATTTGGACTAGGTCTTTGCTTCAGTTCCCTACCTGTCCTGCTCAGCTGCTGCTCTCCCGTGCCAACGCGACTAACGGTCAAGCTGCCAATCACCACCTCCTCATGGCTTTCGGCTCTCAGCCCGAGGGTCGTCCGCGGTTGCTCTAGCGTAAGCGGGGCTTGGGGCAAGGGCTCAGGTGCTTCTTTGGGCTCATGCTTGTATGATCTTGTATGATCTTGTATGATCTTGTATGATCTTGTATGATCTTGTATGATCTTGTATGTTTGCTTGCTTGCTGCTTACTTGCGAGCTGGCGTGCATTCAACGGATCAGGAAGTCGGAGGTGCAGCCCTTCAATGTGCTCATGACCGGGAGGGCAAATGCAGGCTGGTCAGCCCAGCCCGAAAATTCGACGAACTCATCAACTCAGGCCACAACCACTCTTGAACAATACGGCAGACGCGCCTTGCTGGGCAACACTCCATTGATAAACTGACACTCCAGCAATACGCTTCCTGATTTGTACCTCCCTCTGTTGTCGACTTTTCGCCGCTCCCCTCGTAGAACAATTCAAGATGCGCAACTTGTCTGAGAGTCATGTGGGGACCTGTACAGTCTCACCTCATCAATCAGCAAATCGCACTCTCAAAGAGCCTTGACTTTCGACGTGCACCTGCAACTTGCCGGTTTCTCTCCTGGACGATTTGCTTTGCTGCCCTTCCAGACGCATTGCCCCGTTTGTCGAGAAAGTCGTGGGGTCCTTGAAAGTGCGAAGCAAGGCCTCGTGCGTGCCTGGTCCCATGTCTGGACCTGATGAATATTGGCCTTGAAGCGCAATGCGGCAGGATTGCAAGGCCAACAAAGAAGCCAGCCAAACTGCTGAACTTTGAAGCAAACTCTATTCGCTCCAAGCTCGGCCTTCTGATCAGCCATCCTATGGAATGGGCAGTCTCTTGCTACTACCTGGATGAGCTACATATCGCAGATCGCCCTATGGCAACAGCCTTTGCATGAGTGTCTTGATTTCCGGCCCATTCGAAAGAGGGTGATTGCATCGAGGCACGGCTGGAGAGCGGATATTGGCGGAGAAGCATGCAATTGCCGCGGGGCAAAAGCACTGACCGATCGCAGCCTTGCTTGCTCCTGCGACATTAAACAAACTCATGGGACCCCATCATTCCTGCTCAACTGCCATCGGCAGGCATGGCCAAAGCAACTTGACTATGAATGATGACATGGCAAACTTTCAATTCACGCAATGGGATTTCCGCCAGCCTCACTCTTTTTGTGTAACTGAATGTCTCGATGCACACGACTCGAGCTGGTTGACCTAGATTGTCCGGGGTAACATGCTGAGAGCACAAGCTCCCAAGAAATCTTCTGGATCACTCTTGGGGCGAACTGGGCTCTTCAAAATAGGGTTTGGCCAATCCTTATCTGGGAGTGGAGTGGTGGGGAGAAGATAGGCATTCCTTTCCTTTCAACTAAACATGTGCTAAGAGGATAGAGGCTCGGAAAGCTCACCTGATACAAATCATTTACTAGTAACCATTACATGCTGATGGGCCGTCCTCTCTCCCTTCCTCTCGGCTATTGGCAAACCACTGCAAAGGGAATCCCTTGCATAACCCAAAGCAAGGATCAAGGATTGCCTTTGTAAAACCAAGGCAACTGCTCGGATCAAGCTGAAAGCCGGCCATCAAACCGGAATCGTCCGTCGACGGCACGCAGCTCCAGCGATGCTTCAAAAACGCTCAACTGAAACCTGCCAGCATCTTTAAGACGCCGCAGGTTTACACATCTGCGTTGCAAGAGTATTCGCAAAAACGGGTGAAATATGGGTGAGTAACACGTCGGATTCTTGAAGGAAGTAACATGACCCCACCATCCGCCCCTTTTTGAGGACTCGCCAATCTGCTTAGAGCGACTCCTCTCTGGTAAAGATAAGGAGAGATGCTCAGCGCCATGGGGCTTTTTCTAGCAGCCCTCAGATGACTCAGAAGCGATTGGTCTTCAGACATCGCCGCTTTGCTCGCCAGGCACTTTTGACAAATTCAATTAATCCTCTCAAGGGAAAATGTACCCCTTTTGCAGTTGCAAACAGCCGACTCTTGCGAGCAGAGGGAGGCGCCTGAGAATCTGCGAGGCAGAAGACCTCGATTGAAACACTTCAAAAAATAACGATTCTGTTGGACCGCATTGCCGTAGGAGCGCTTGAGGAATGCTTCAAGATATACAAGGCTGAGTGCAACAAACTTGCTCTGGATTGGTGAGGCGCAACTTTTAGTCTTAGTCTGTTACGCGTGTCCGCCTAAGCCGAACCTTTGGCCGATTCAGTCCAACCTGCTAATTAGGATATTTCCGGAGGCGCCGGCACCACCGTTCCTCAGTCCCATTCACGCGCCTGAGCTCTACTGCAGAGATGAGGCTGTCCGGGTCTTCTGCAGCTGCCTCCCGCGGCTCATGCTCAGAAAACAAAAAACACGGGAACCGCTTTTGAGGGTCCTCTCCGAATATGTCGAAAACACACCCATCTGGAAACACGTGGGTTGAACACAAAGTGGACACCTGTTCTAACCTTACACTATCCTTTGTCCCCGCTATCGGCTTGGAGTTTGACGCTTCTCCAAGTCCCGCTCGGGATTTTGCTTCTGTTTCAGAAGCCGGCTTCAGAAGCCGGCTTCGGCAGTTCTCTTTGACAATTAAAACGGGCACTACTTTGCCAGCTCCAGCTCTTGTCGGTGCAAATGGGGCGCAAACTCGAAAGTGGCAAATGGTTAGTACCGGCGGGGTACACGAAGTGCAGTTTGGCAGCTCCAAATCGAAAGTCGCGCCCTGACAAATACGCTTTGACAGCTCCAGCCCGAGAGTCGCAACTTGTCAGCACAAGTGCCATACAGGAAGTACACTGGCGCATGAACGCCAATGGGTTGGCTTGGCTACGTCTGACTCCGCAATCTTCATGGCTTCTACGCATATCGAACTGCCTCCTTTCCAATGGCTTTACATCGTTCCAGGTTGGAGAGCAAGTGAAGGGACGGGCCCTAACAGAATAAAATTGCATAACAGTTGTCTGACGTGAAACACACCGCCCAGTTTGCCCAAGCTGAGGAGGCAGCAAACTAAGGCATCCGAGCCCACCCACATGACACACACACACACGGCAAATTTTAAATCCAAAACGATCAGCGCTCTGAAGTCCGGAGTTACTCACAACATGGCACGGAAACGGACGTGCCTTGAGGAACCTGTTTATCCTGTTCACGTGCCGGTCATGCAGACGGCGATCTGGGGGGCCATGCACACCGATAGGCATACCCTCCTCACGCACGGCTCACGACAGCTCGCATTGGCTTCAACACTTATCGGTGGATTGACCAACAATCCATCAGCCCCATACAAAGTCAACACCCGTTGAAGCATCCTCTCCACCTCAAGTGAAGCTCTTCTTTCTACACTGGCCCATCTCACTTCCATAGGCGAAACGACTTGGAGCCATGGCAAGGAAGCATAAGACAAGCAGTCGACACAGGTGGAATAAACACTTGCCTTTACTCTTTGGATTTCAGTACCCTTTCACGGGTGCTGCAAGGTATTAACATGGATGTTGAGGCCCCCTCCGCCGTGTCGCGAAGCAGTAACATGAGGCTTCACCCTTTCCCCACTCGACTCATTTCGGGAGGGGGGGCACAACCCCGTTGAGGCTTCCTTGAATGAAGCCGAATACCAACTAGTGGCGCATTTGAAAGATCGCTTTGAGTGGACAAGGGTTCCATGTTGTGGCTTGGGGCTGAGCTTGGGCAATCTATCAGCATATCATCAAGGCAGTGTTGGTCTTTTGTGGGACTGCTGACCCCGCCCACAAGGCAGGGCCAGGCGGAAAATCAAGTGGGAAGCTTTAATCAAGCTGAGACGGGACTTGCCAAGAACTATCAACAAGAATTAAGAATCGGTGTCAATTCTTTCGGTGTGAAGACAAAACGGTTCAACGATTATTCTTCCTCCACGGAACGCTTACTGAGCTCGATGTGCAGGTTTGGTTGCGTGAGCCCTGAAAAGTCATTGCCAGAAATGATGCTACGCAAAGAACCGAACAACAGTTTTTACCCTTTGAACGCCGCGCTCCGCCACGCCTTTCTCTCACTCACAACGGAAAATCAGCTGCTTTCGTTCACAGCTCACTTGAAATTCTTGCTGACCTCAACCACACTCCAGGCGCCGGCTTCCAGCAGCTCATTCATAGGTTCAGCGTTCCCACCTCTCGTAGTCAGAACATTTGCAGTCAGAGCGGGATTCGGCACCCGTTTCTCGCGAGCTCCTGACTCTTGTAGATGCTGCTGAATCACGTGCATCTCGATGGCAGCCCGTTTGTCTTCCTTGGTGAGCTGGTTAAAGTCAAAGTTGGACCTGGCGTCCGTGACTGCCAGTTTCTTCAACTCCTCTGACGCATTGGTCGAGGCGTGTGATTCCAGCAGTTGCGTTCACCACCAGGTGTATCTTGGACCTCTTCCAGCGCAGCAAGTTGTAGCGAAGAACTTCACCTTGCGTCACCTTTCTTTCGTACACCGACACGAAGATGATCGACGTAAGGACCATGTGAGGTCGCGGCGGATCCGGAATCTTGAGCCAAGTGCCACCGGCAAGTCCAACGCAACATCCCGCTTGTAGGCCTACTCAGATTGCGAAACACCTTCGTGCCCTGCTTGGTCGCAACAACGTCCGTCTCGTGCTCCCAAAGGGCCAGATCGCAAAGCCACCTACGAAAATATTCTAGCGATTCTCCGGCGAAGGTGTGCTCTCTGAATGGCACTGTCCATCTCTCTCACTCACGCATGGTAGGGTTGAGGCAGGGTTCACAAACTCTGTTTTACACTCCTACAAGTCTTGTGACCCTGAGCGGCCAAAGCCCAAAAATTCATGGCCCTCGAATAGCGGCTGATGTCAAAGAAAAACTGCCAGCTCTGGTACTTGTACCGCTGAGTGACAGTTTCTGAGCAAGCTCCAGGCATGTCCACATACACAGCCCGGCTTTGAAGACTTTTCAGCGCTGTCCTTCCTTTCCCTGGTGTAGTAGGAGGACTCGTGGTCCACGAGCGCCTCCTCACCCTGAACCCCGGGCAGTAGCCACCAAGCCACACAAAGCTAGGTGCTGAGAATACAGTTGAAGGAAACTCTGGCAAATACAGGCTGATACAGGCTAATGCCCGCAATTTGATGCACGAAATTAAGTGTTTCAAATCCCTCAAGCATTCATGTGAAGGGGTGTTGAAGATTGGCTGCGCCTTGCAGCACCAAGAGGCCCGTGTTTGCGTGTTTGCGTTTGCCAGTGCCTCTGGGCTGCAAGGGCTGCAAGGGCTGCAAATTCAGGCTGGGAGCCTTTCCATGGGTATCATTTGATTCTTGAAAGATGTTCAAAAAAGGGACGAGCCCATTGGCCTAGAAGCATCATCTTGTTGGCACTGTGGCGCCTCCTCCCTCACATCCTCAGCCTGAATAACGTGAATGTCCTCGGCCGAAGGTAAAAGGGATTCCAAACAGCCCCGGAACCCTCGACAGGAAACATGCGTCACCAGGCAACACTCTTCAGTTAAGCATTTCTTTGAGCAGCGTCACTACCCCGCAGTTTTGGGCCGACCTTGCTTGCGCAGCTCCCTTGCCACGTGTCCGGCAATTGACCTGTCTCCTCTCGACCGCACGTCTCCAGCCTAGCGGGTGTTTAGCGTGAGCCCTTTCTGACATCAAGGGTATTCCTTCAACCGGGCTTAGGCCGCTCCTTCTTAAGGCGCAAACAGCCATAGCGAAGAAAAGAAGCGGGACTTGTCAACCGCTCTTTCAAACATGCTTCGACGCGTGAACCCTCCGTATTGCTTCCGTGAATCGGGGGAGCACGTGCACCCTTCCGGGCGCCTTGGGGCGGAGGTGGCGCAACCCATGGCGAACCGGCTGTGAGCCAAAGTGGCACCTCACAGAGCGAAGGCAAGAAAAAGCTAGAGCTACTGCGCGGGGTAAGCCACAGCCGTAGTGCGCACAGCTACCGCAGCCACACTTGGAATTGATGTGCTTTCTTGGGCGCAATGCAGCAGCTCCCTGCCAGTGCGCAGCAGCCTCCCCTCAGGCCAGGGCTTCAGAAATTCAAGCTGCAAACTCAACATCCGTCTTTGGAAGAGCCAAGGGCTGGAAACATCCCTGCAAGTTAGAAGAGACCTTCCCCATCTTTTGTTGGTATCCTAGTGTAGCCGCCCCTACGCAAAAACAGCATTTTTCAACCATGTTTTCATCATTCAAATTATCATCCTTATTCATTATGCATATTTCCACTCAAAACATTTCATAACAGTCTCAACCTCAAATTCCTTCAACAAATCACATTTTTCTCATTTCTATTCCATCATTCTTGTCATTGTTAGGGTGCTTGAATAGAAAATAGGAGTATAGGGTAGTTTATAGGATATGGTTCTTGGATGGTATAAAAGATGGGGAAGGTTAAGTTCATTCAGCAAAAAAAAATTCAAAAAATTCAAGAAATAAATTTTCAAAAAAGATTAAAAAAAAGTAAACAAAAAATCAAAAATATATTTCCATAATTTTCAAAAAATAAGAAATATTATTCCAAAAATTATGATAAATTATTTTACGATATTTTATCATAAAATGTGTAGACATATTATGGGCAAGGTTGTTTTTCAAACAAGGTTCGTTATTCTAACTCGCGTTATGTATAATCATTTCTTATTTAATTTCAGGATACTAGTTCAATTTCACATTTTCATATTTATTGTAATTATTTTGATACATATGTTTCATAACTTCGTTTAATTCATGTAAAACCTTATTTACTTTGTAATTACTTTTGAGAATATAATTCTCACGATTAATATATTCACTAGTATAATGAAATACGTTGGCATTAGAAAGCACTCATTTATTAAAGAGACTATCTAATAACTTATATGTCTTTTTACTAATGTTAAACTGTTCCTTCAATGTTTTTTGGTCAGGTATTTCATAACATACAGCAAAATACCAATTTAATTTATTTTTATAGAGGGTTGGTTTTTCCATTCTTTTTATTTCTAAAGAATGGTGTAAGTGATTAAAACATTACATTCGAATTTTTGCCTACCATAATCGTTAATCGATTTTAAACTTGCACTTGGTAATTTTAAATGGAATAATTCAACTGGATTAAAATTATGTTTTCCTAATTCCTTCTTATTTATTTTTCTGTTTCATTATTATTAACAACATCAAGAAATTTATTAATAATTTATTCTTGCTCTTTCTCTGTAAATTCAACCATTTCTATTATAATATATATATAGTTTTTATTTCTTTAAATACTTTTTTACAAGAAATATTAAATTACTATTGAAAATATTATCATTTACAACTACAATTGCACCGAACACAGTAAGGAATAATATTATTCAGTTCGTGCGACAACTCGTTTGATTTACGTTGCCGTGTTAAATTTGTAATTAGGTTTCCATTTTTCAGATCAATAGAAAAACCGCATCCGCAGATATTGCATTGATTAGTTATATTGTCTAAAAACCATTGTGCATTTACATAACCTTCTTTAGGTATGGTTCTTTTTGCTTTCCTGTCCTGTTCCTTGAAATTTAATATAATTTCAAAATAACTTAAGATACATCTTTGATTAAATACATCATCATATCTTTGTATATTTATAGAATTTGACTTTGTTTAAATCCCTTGCTCTGGTAATTGCCGTCCATATCCATTCTGGAAAATTCTTTACTAAAAAATGGTTTATCAAAAATTGTTATGGTGTCATCAATGCTACTACCTTGTGCGGAATGACATGTAGAACAGTAAGCATTGCTTAATTGCTTCTTATTTTAGCAACTTCTAAAGATTGTAAAATTTCAGTTTTTACATTATTCAGTGTAAACATTCCATCGCTTCCAATATGCACTATTTTAGAATTGAAATTTACATTAAACACTGATGTTGTTGTTTTAGTGTATTCCCTACATAATGAAAACTCCCCTACTTCGTATTCATCTTTTCTATTTGCTAACTTTCTAATTTCATTTGATACATTGTTACATGTATTATTTAGAAATGCTATGTTGTTTTTAGAACCACTTATGCTAGGTGTGTATTCGAAATACTTTTCAATAAGTCTTTTAATAGATAGTTTGTTTTCAAAAATGTCAGTTTTAATATTCTTCATTTGTTCCTTATCTTCTTGTGCGTTAAGTCTCTTACATTCTGATAAAAAGTATTATGTTGAAACACATTATCTATCATGCTGTCGGTGTATGTTTCATATTCTTGAGTGTTGGTTATTTCTTGAACTGGTTTTAATTGCTTGGTGTCTCCTGTTGCTAATATAATTTTGTTGTGCTTATTTTGTTCTACAAGTTGTTTTATTCTCCAGTATGTGCTTAGATTACTAAAATAGATTTCATCAAACACTATTACATCATAGCCTGTAAAATCAAATGGTTCTAATTTAGCATCTCCATAATTGATACCGAAGAATTTCTTTATTGTCATTGCTTCCCCTTCGAATGCCTGTAGCAATTTATTAGTAGGTGTTACAAAAATTACAGTATAACCTTTATTCACCATTTTTTGACATATATAACTCTTACCTGTGCCTGGGTAGCAACCCCTAATCATCATGGGACTATTCTGTTCAATGACTTCAATAATTCTATCTGTGTCATATTCATCTACTATGTTTATTCTCCTACTTTCGCTTTCTGGTATTTTTACCAAATCATGTTTAACAAACTTATGCTCATCAGAAGGTAGTTTGATATCTTCACCTCTTTTAGATACTCTCCAACCACCAATGCCATTATTGAAGCCTAATAATTATTTTGCATTTTCTAAATTATATTCATCAACAACAAAAGCATCAGTTTTGACACTATATACATTAACGCCATTCAGTAGCAATTTATACAAACAAGTATTCATTCTAAAATTATGGTGTTGTAATAAAATTCTTTAATATATTTGAAACCATTTTTTAACTGTGCCTTATCCTTCAAGTTTAAAACGGAACATATTTTTTATCAGTTTCATTTGATGGGCTGCAATTTTCAAATTCTTCTTTACCCTCCATTTCTGCTAATCTGTGAATTTTGCCTCCGTATTCTGTTTGATAATGGACTGCTTCATTAAGATTTTGAAACAATAAGCTTTTTTGGTCAGTTGCACCTCCCTTTTCTAATAACCCATAATTGATATTAGCGATCAGCTTCTTAATAACTGCGTCTAACTGTTTGTCATGCTCATCAAGTGTTGTTCTCCATAGTTCATCTATAATACTTTTGTAATCCACTTTGTGAATACATGATGGTTGTGTATAATATAAAGTATCAAAATGGTATGAATTATTTTCACTTATAATTTCCTTTAAGAATTTTCCATATATCCGCCGACCCCTTCTCCTCAAGGGGAGGCGCACGGGAAGGGTGGTTACAGCACAAGTCCAAGGTTGGTTGGTAAATGAGCATAGCCGAAGATTCAACATTATCAGCGTAAGCAATACCGTCATCGTAGCATCCTTTGCACCTCAAAGACGTCTTTTTCGTCATCATGATCATTATTGTTGTCATCCGTGTCTTTTTCGAGTGCGTTTCAAGTGTCCTGTTAGATGATGACGATAATGACCACCATCATGGTGATGATGACATGCTCACCATCATCACATCATCATCGTTACCTGATTGGAGATGCAGAGGATGCGTAGACATGATTATCATCATGACTGCTGGTGATGCAGAGGATGCACGATGATGGATATCATCCATGAACATGACGATGACGATGACGATGATGATGACAATGATGACGATGATGATGATGACAATGATGATGATGATGACGATAATGACCACCATCTCAGTCCCGTTAGAGCCGATTCGAGATGCAGAAGATGCGTGGACATGATTATCATGATGACTGCTGGTGATGCTGAGGATGCGTCATGATGATTATCATGTCAGTTCATCATCATCATCATGATCATCATCATCAGTCCCGTTAGAGCCGGTTTGAGATGCAGAAGATGCATGGACATGATTCTCCTGATGCCTTCTGGTGATGCTGAGGATGCGTCATGATGATTATCATGTCAGTTCAGCATTATCATCATCATCATCATAAAAGCGGCGCATTTTCACGCGAATGCAGAGCAAAAATGCACCGCGCCCTGGCTACAAGAGAGGCCCATCGCGGCCCCGACTTGCGGCGAGAAAACTGGTTGGCTTGCGGGGTGACCGGCGATGAGCCTCTACTGCAAACGCAACGTCACGGCACATGCTCCCAGCAGCAGCAGAATTGTAGGCACTTACAGCGGCGCATTTTCTTACCAGATTATTACAAAAATGCACAAAGCCAAGGAAAGAAAACGATCGCTCCAGAACGGGCGCAGGTTCTATGGAAGCGTGCCAATCAAAGCGCATTATCACGATGACTGCTGGTGATGCAGAGGATGCACGATGATGGTTATCATGATTATCATCATGACTGCTGGCGATGCAGAGGATGCACGATGAGGGTTTTCATCGACGATCATGGCGATGATGATGGCGATGCTGATGGCGATGCTGATGACGAGGATGACGATATCGCCCATGATGACAACAGTGATGATGACGATGACGATGATGATGATGATGCTGATGATGGTGACATGCTCATCGTCGTCGCATCATCATCGTTGTGACCTGATTGGAGATGCAGAGGATGCGTAGACATGATTATCATCATGACTGCTGGTGATGCAGAGGATGCACGATGATGGTTATCATCCATGGTGATGACGATGATGATGACGATGATGACGATGATGATGATGATGCTGATGATGATGATGACGATACTGACCACCATCATGGTGATGATGACATGCTCATCATCATCACCTCATCATCGTTGTGACCTGGTTGGAGATGCAGAGGATGCGTAGACATGATGTTGTCGTCCTTATCTTTTCTATTTACAGTTCAATTGTAGCGTTAGACCCGATTGGACATGCAGAGGGTGCGTAGTAATGATTATCAGCATGAC